AAACAAACATTTTAAACCACTTGAGACACATCAGTCTCAAGTGACTTATAACGTTTTGTTTAACAGACCTCGTTTTTGAGGCTTTTCTTTTGGCGGTGGTGGCCACACTGGAAGCTTGCCGGAAGCACCCTTTCGTGATGTGGGAGTCTTGCTCGGWTTGGTGGATGCGGGAGAATCCGAGTTCTTTTTTGTGTCGTTTACAGTTGTCTTTGGTGGAGACGTTGCAGGCGTAGATGTTTTTGTAAGATCATTTGCTTTCTCGGGCTCTTTGTTGGAGATGTTGTTGTTTGATTCAGTTGGTTTACTGGACACGCCGTTGGTATCCGTGACTTTAGATTCTTTGGACACGTTGTTGGACGTCGTGGCTTTAGAATCTGTTTTCGTTGAGGCTTTTGTTTCTGTCTTGTTTGCTGCAGATTTTGAAGTTTCTTTCTTTGCTACCGAAGGTGCAGTAGTTGTGGTTGGCGATTTACTACTAGGTGTCGTACTCTTTGTTGTGGAAGGTTCTTTCTTTGTTACAGAAGGTGCAGTAGTTGTGGTTGGCGATTTACTACTGGGTGTAGTGCTCTTTGTTGTCATTGCAGGAGCTGAAGGGTTTGCCTTTTCAGCGGAAGAAGGCGACAAGAAAGGGGATGACGAAGGACCACTTCCTGGAGCTTGAACACCAGCTGAGTGCATGGCTTTTACTCTAGCTAAAAGTCCACCTCCTCCACCACCTCCTCCGCCTTCTTCTTCCCCGTCAGATTTTTTGATAGCTTCAGATGCCCCACGACTTCCCATTAGCCTGCTCAGGAAATTTGTGCTGCGGATGGCAGTTAGCGCCTTTTTCCATTTTCTTTTGGCGGTGAATGCTTTCAACCGATCCGTTTTTAGTCGTTTGCCGGTTTCTCTTTTCTCTGTAAGCCATGGATGCTTTAGGCATTTCTCTACAGTAATTCTATTGGTTGCTTTGAGTACCAGAAGGTTAGAGATAAAAGTCTTGGCGTCATCGGAAATGTCATCAAATACAGGATCATCAAAGTCCCATTCGGCCATTTGAACATTGGCCAAAGTCTCAGCATCATTATCTCCCATGAAAGGCGAGAGTCCACTTAGCAAAACGTATGCTATCACTCCAATTGACCACATGTCTGTAGCTGGAGTGATTCGGTCGTAGGTAAGTACTTCTGGAGCTACGAACTCTGGTGTTCCAAACATAACTTTCAAGTTTTCTTTGGGGTCGTACTTTCTTGCTAGGCCAAAGTCGATAAGTTTAATCTGTCTGCTCTGTGGTCGAACTATCATAATGTTCTCTGGCTTCAAATCGAGATGTAAAACCTCTTTGGAGTGCATATGCTGAACACCCTGTATGATTTGCTTCATGTAGTGTATTACATCATTTTCGGATATAAATTCATCCTCGACAACCTTTTCAAAGAGTTCTCCACCTGTCACAAGCTCCATCACAAGGACTATCTCTGTAGGAGATTCAAAAGCATCTGCAAGCCTCAGTARCCTTCTATGCCGAAGAACGCTCATGATTTCAACTTCATGCTTCACATCCTTTCTATCTTGCTCCTTAGAACATTTAATAAACTTAGCTGCAAAACATTTTCCATCACTAATACGTGAACATTTGCATACAACACCAAATCTTCCTTTCCCAAGTTCATCTTTTATCTTGTAGAATTTGGTTATACTGCCACTTCGTATTCCTACGTCTTTTTCGTCATCAGTGGCATCATCTGATATCTCTGAATCACTTGCTTCACCACCTGACTCCTCGTCGCTTGACGCATGCTCCTTGATGATCAGCTTAGCACTGCAAGACACCTGCCCGTGACGGTTGACAGCTACCACCTTGTACTCTCCAGCATCTTTTTGTCTACCTTCTGTGATAATAAGCTTGCAATTGTCATTTTCATCGTACAGGAAGGTTAACTGTTTGCTCTCACGGAGTTTCTTCCCGTCTTTGTACCATTCTACATCTGGTTCCGGGTTTCCAGTTACTTGGCATTGAAATCTAGCAGCGGTGCCTTCCACTATCTCACAGTCCTTGAGAGGCAACCTAAACGAAGGCGGACCTGCAGGAGTGCCGTCTATGCAGCAATAACRTATCAATTAGCAAATGCGTGGCAAAAAAGTGCTTTGGTATGGTAAGGGGAGTTCCCATTTTGAAATGTAGTTAAAGGGGGAGTTGTAAAGCTAAATGTCAAGTAGCAAAAGTAGAAGCCGATTTTTCCCTAAGGCGACATTCAATGTTGAAAGTTCCGTTTTCGCAGACTGAATAAAAAGGTGTCAAAACATTCAATAAGCTAGCCTGTATAGCACCAAGAGATTTACTGTGTACTTATTCGTAAAACAAAGCATGTAAAGCAACTGGCAAAATCTCCTCAGCTTTTCCTTTTTTATATCGATTTTAATTTCTTTTAGTTTGTGCGCTTCAGATGTGTAGAAGCTACATTGTGGTACCTAAGTCCATACAGCTATAAATATATCGAATTTATTCGCTGTTGTTTAAGCTGCAGGCTGTTATGCTTACTGCAATTGGAAATGAAAAGGCCAAATATTTCGTTACCAAAACAGAAAAATTCAATTTGGTAATTTCATCGTCTACATATTCAGCGTGCCACAACCCTGACCTCTTTTGAATGTTAAGATTTCAGCTACCATGAATTAATACAATTTCTAAGTTCTTCAGCTAGCACGCTAAAAAAAATGAATGGCTTGCTTTATGATTAAATAATTACACTTGTCTGCAGCTCTGTACACATCCAGAACTACGTCCTGGGGATGTATATCGCTTTCGAAGTACAAAAAAACTACATTTGAATTACACAAATGTACCAAGTACGAGTCCGCCTTGCAAATTTTATAAATTTCGTATGGCAACAGAACGGAAGTTTTTAGTTCCCACTTCTCGCAGTGATTGAAATTTGAAGTAGGCGCACGCGCCAAAGGGTTTTTGATTGGAGAACGTTTAACTTGGCTATTCAGTGTTTGGTTTGAAATATTTCTAAAAAATCTCTTGACTTGCAGCTGCTTTTCTATTTAAAACAATGTTGAGTGTTGTTTCTTCATCGAAAATATTTAGTAAGAATATCAATTATAAGTTCTATGAGTTATATTTTAACTCAATGGTTTTGTCATTTCGGCCAGGACTGACCTTTTCACCAAATGCAGTTCTTTCTGTATAGAGTTTTCAACTTTAATCGGATCAAATAATCAAAAACATCGAATGTGTTGCAAAATGAGCCAGTTAAAATAGAAGCAAGGGAACATAAAAGAAGAAGAAGATAAAAGAAGATCTAAGTGACGTTCTGGAGCAAAAAATTTTGCCAAAGTTCTGGAATAGTTATGTATCATTTTCATATTCCAACATGATACGTTTGTAAATCATACAAGTTAGGGTCAAAGGTCAATAGAAAATATAACGCATTTCGATCCTACGTAGAAAATAATTTTACTTGAGCTTCCAGCCAAAGGTTTCCGTGATTTGTTCTGTTTTCGCAAGGACGACCTCTTTCTTTAAGAAAAGATCTTAAATGAACTTTAAGCAATCACTTTTGAATAGTTCATTGTATTCCTTTAGATGTAGACAACTGGGCTCCAGTGAGTAACACGTAACACTTTTATGYACACAACACAATTTGCATGGAGGCATCAATCACAATGAATCGAATAAATAGATAAATAAATAACCAAATCAATGGAACAGAACATTGCATCCWGAGATGATCCACGCTGGTGGGCGAGCCAACATTATGTTGCTACTTACAATACTTTAAATTAGCATAACACAAATACTACTTACAAAAGAAAAAACAACAACGATCCGTAACAAACCAATTCATTAAAAGCTTAAGACTCTGAATAAGAACCGTGTATAAAGAAACTAATCTAGTATGTTATAGAAAAAAGTTATACATAACGAAGACTATTCTTCTGTCTATKTATTCGAGTGAACAGATGCCAGTTGCTTCACATTGCACAGACATAAGATAAGGTATCATAGATTAACATTACTAACCATGTGARTCGCTCTTAGAAACAGAACTCTCCCGATTTGAGAAACGGCTCCCTTTGTACATGCTTTTTTTCTGAAGCTTATGAAGCGACTAAGGCACCAATTTGACTTGAACGTTTCCGATATTTTCAAAATTCCTATAATTGAATCGCCTCGTCACCAAACTCTCCACGGAGYAGAAACGACAAAGCCAAAAACGGAAATGCTGTTGATTAGAGGCGTAGTACAGAATTCGATGCGACCTTTGAGGGTGAAGTTATTCAAGACACGTAAATAAGCCGACGTAGTAGCCAAACCTTATGACTTTTTTAATCTTGATGCTTGCGGCGCTCAGCAGCAATAATATTAACGATGATGCTGAACTGGAAATCCAAYCTATATATGGCAAAATACGAACTGCAAAATAACATCACAGCCAAAAAGATTGACAGCATTGGACGCCAGCAGTTTATTCACATGTCACTTAGTCCTTGCGTGACACATACCATTCTTGTCTATTGAGCAAGCCCACGTTGACAATTTCAGTAATTACAGTCTCCCGATAGTGGACAATCCAAAAGCCAAAGATAAGGAATGTCTCTGGAATCTGAAAACTTATGCTCGAGCAAAGGTGCAGAAAGACAGAAGCATTTATTCAAAACAAATGACACCAACTCACGGCCTCAGCACCACGAAATAGGCTCTTGACTCTRCTGTATTTCACGACAGAGTGCAAGAAATGGATCTTGCGTCTATATCAGCCTGCTAATCGGCCTTCTTAGTTCCACGTCTCAAGTTTGGAATTAAAACAAAGTCGTTCTGTTCGGGTGTAGATAGACAATAAGCACGAAAACTTATGGACTGATTGGCCTCTAATAAAATAGTATTAATGATTATGTGCACAGGTTAAATCAGGATAGGGATAACAAAACATTCTGTTAAAGCGTTCAAAGGTAACGCTTTAGCAAATGTGTTTTTACAATAAACACGGCGAAATATTTACAAAGCTTGAKAGTATTAGATAGACGTCATTTGCTTTTTGGCTGGAAGTACTACAACCAATTGAGATAAGAATAGCCTTGAMAGACGAAATCACATTTTTGAGGTAATGAGATACTCTATGAGAAGAATCAGCGGGGTTTTCTGAGCAAAARAAATATGTCATCGTTTGAAGTCACAACTAAGTAATTTGCTTAGGAAAAGTATTGAAGCAGCTTCTTCAAACCATAAAAGAGTCTACCGAAACTCCTGCAACATAAAACAGGTAACAGCCTGCAACTACTCCATTCCACCCTTTTTTAAACGAAGAACATCATGAATGACAAATGTTTAACACAAATGTCCACAATATAAAGAAAAGATGATTGATAGACAATCGTTTTCTATCCACAAGGGTGCGGTAGCCACATATGTTAAAAGACCTTCCAAAGAAGGGGAACCAATTGCGGTCTATTGACGCTCGCCAAGGGTAAAAATAAACTTCTAGATCATTAGGAAATCCGTAAATATATATAGATAGATCTTGTGGTCTGGCCTCGAGAGCCTGGATTTCCAGTTCAAAAAACGTCACATGTCGGCATAAAAAGAAAGACCTTTCATCGCTGAATGGGTTTGTCAAGTTAGGGAGATTTTTCAGACTTCCATTTTAGCAGACGAAAAACAAAACTATAAGGGAAATACAGCCGCGGAAGAAAATATTAGGGGGGGTTAGTAATCAGATATGGATAATCTTTGGAGTTTATTATGAGCTTGGAGATGACTAACATGTCTTAAGGCTAAATACTATGAACTTCCTTTCGTGTCCAGCACCATCTCTAAAAGGTTTTGTAAGTCTAATTCAGATATCCTTCAAAACCGTTCAGGATAAATTTATATATTCACCCACACGGAACAAGCTTTGGTCATATTGTTTAGGCTCGTTTAAACGGGGTCAAGTTGGGATTTTTTAACAGAAGAAAGAATGTCTGGGAAGCGACCGGAAAACTCATCTGACGGGGACCGAGCCAAAAAACAAAGTCAATCATTTGAGTATGCGTAGCGTGACAATTGTAACTTGAATATGGACTGGGGCCAACATTGAGGCTTCAGACACAGGCCTTGTTATGGAAAATAAAGCTCAGCTGCCTTTGTTTAGATACAAAATGAATGCTTAGGTATTGAAAATAATTGAGTTGGGAACTCCCCTAAAGATTTTAGCACACCAATCACTTTGAGCCACAAGTCACATGCGGTGAATAATTAGCTGCTAATAAATTAAGGTGTTCGTGGAGAGGTGTWTGGGAGTGCTACACTTACAGTTTGGTTCTCGTTGTACAGGGCCACGTCTACCACTCAGCGTAGGACTTCTACGCCCAGCCATTGAAACTTCGGGAGGCTTACGCGACTCTCCCGGCGTAAGATGGCCGCCTTGCTTTGTTYGTAGTTTACCTTTCATTTTTCCAAGAAGTCCACCGCCGCCGCCACCTGATGCAGCACCGCCGCCTAAGCCAAGGGATCCCAAACGACTTAAGGCACGAAGGGCATTGGATGTTTTCTGAAAACAAGACAAAAGTATGACAAGTTCAAGCCAGATCGGAACTCTGAAGCATAGCTGCCAGACTGGGAAGCACGCAGGCAAGAAAAAAAAGGAAGGAAGGAATAATGAGGGGAAGGGAGGGGGGGCGGCACGAAGAGAACTAAGGGAAGGCCATAAAAAAACATCATACCTGCCAACGACGTCTTGCAATGAACTTTTTCAGGTTATCAGTACTCAGCTTCTTAGCCTCCATAGTTTTTCCTTTCTGTTATTCAAAACATTGTTGTCAAGAGAAGATTACGAAGCAGGAATGCATCGGGCACAAACACAGAAAACTGAAGATGAAACCCAAAAATGGCGCGTAYGGCGTTTTGGTTCAGTTCTTGAACAAGTGATTAGAATAGTAAAATATAGGTGACTAAAAAGAATGAAAGCTAATAGATTTTGCTTTACATACAAATGTCATTAAATCATTAGAAAGYGCCTGAGGAAGACTAGTACTGGCTAGTCGAAGTATCGTACTTAAAAAATTGATTTACTGAGTTTTTTGGCATTTTTCCTCTTTTTAATAACATATGATTGCATGCATGCGTTTCAAGACTAAAATTTGGATGACTTTAATCTAAAACTTTACGTCATTGTTATTTAGATTACTGTTACACAGTCGTGTTCGCGAGAATAAAGAAATGATGCAGGGTCATATTCGATGATAACTGTAGTTGATGTTTTGTTTGGTCGAAGAGTGAGATTTGAAGAAGTGCACTGCATTTTATGAACTTACCTTGAGCCATTCATGGCTAAGACACTGGTGAATGTCATTTCTCTTGCTGTTTGTAATAAAGAAGAAAACACACTTAAAATTCAATTAAAAAAACGTGYTAACATACAATATCCATTGCAGGTGTTCCTAAGCAGTCGTAAAAATAGCTTATTAAGATTTGATTGACAGTTAGTTGGACCTTGCATTTGACTGATGATAAGGGTGGCCACACCTACCTGTGGTCTTTGAGTAAAAGTTCTTCAATAAATTTCTTAGCAAGATCTGAGACTAAGTCAAATGATTCATCTTCAAAGTCCCACTCTGCTGTTGAAACATTCATGATGGTTTCGTTGTCGTCATCTCCCATGAATGGAGACAAACCACTCAATCTGTATAATAACAGGAGTCCGAAAAACAAATATACATATTCAGTAACTACAAATTAAAAACGTGTTAAAGGGGAAGAGTTAAGAATACAGAGGGTCAAGGTGGGCACTTTTTTTGGGAACTGAGAGATTCCAGAATACTTTTGCACAAYAACAACAACAACAAAAGAAAGATTACATTTTACATCGAAAGGAAATTTCTATTGCTTTTAGTGCCCTATAGCTTGAGAATCGTGAAACCCTTTTCTATATAATGTTGATACGATAGCCCCAGCTAGACTGATTGACAAATTCGAACTATCGCCCTTACTCAGTACTCTGTTTAAAAGGATATTCAAAAGAAAGGCTTAATGGATGAGAAGAAAGTAATAAATAGATTAATCTTCTGAGGTCACTTGGGATCGAACTACGGATTGGGGTTAAGATTGCCTGCACACTTGCTATAATGATAGCAGGCATAAATATTTTATCAAAGCAGCCTTCTTATGAAGTACTAATATACAGTATATATATATATATATATATATATATAGACCCCTTGTATGTGACGTCAAAGCAGCTCGATCTGGGGGACAAAAGAAAAGAATTCCAATTTCCTGTCCCCCAGATTGAGCCGCATTCCAAAGTGCTACAAGGGGAATATATAAAACAAATAATAAATTTAGTATACTACTCACAGGACGTAGGCGATAACTCCGACACTCCTACACAAATAAAAGAATCAATGTAAGTGCCACGAATATGTAAAGGTAAAGTACTTGGCGATTATTTGTGGAGATGCATGAGAGCTAATAGTATGCCCATGGATGCCTTTTCATACAATTTCAAGTTCAGTTTCCATTCATCTCAACTACATCTATTCCTTTAGTTTTATTTATCCTGTTCCTACTTTATTTATTATTTTCAAAAAATGTGGATTTGGGGATTCGCACTTGAAGTTCAGTATAGAATGRATACATAGTTTCATTACTAACCACATGTCACTGGAGAGATGCACTGGCTCGTAGCTAATAACTTCCGGGGCTATAAAAACACGCGAGATAAAAACAATTAAAAMRAAARAAAAAAAAAAAAAAAAATGAAATGAAGACACAAAACTTGTTTCTTAACAAAATGATATATCTAGTATATTAGAATTAAACAGCAAACGTACCAACAAATTCTGGTGTTCCACATGCAAGCTTAAGCTCTTTTCCCTTCTCTAGAATGTGAGCCATTCCGAAGTCAATGAGTTTTAAATCTTCCTTCCCGTCTGGTCGGATAACACACAGCACGTTTTCAGGCTTGAAAGGAAAAGGACACAATGTTGGTTAAATTTACATTAAAKGATTTATTAATTCACTTTTGTGACAACCAACGAGGCGGGCGAGGTTTTTTTTTGTGTGTGTTCTTATTGAATTGAGGGCAAACCACGTAGAGTAGATCTTTTTCTTCACTATCCACTCTAGCAAAAGCCTCCCCTTATTGGCCATAAACCGTAGTCTTTTTTCAACCTAAATCAATGAAGTTTATCATTTAAATTATATTTTCCGTCGTTTTGACTGACCAAGACAACTGCAAATAACTACCTGRAAATAATAGTCTGCTCATGCGCAGTAACGATGCATTTGTCACATTGGCTCGCCTCCTTGTGACTTGGTATGTTTGATAAACAGCCAAAACAACGACGTTGAGTAAAATATCGTGATTTGTTAGTGGCTAGCAAGCAATTATTTGCCGATGTCGAACGTAATATTTCCACCTTTGTRCACAACCACCCCATCTCAGTTCCACCTTTACGATCCTTTACCAATGCCAGATACTGAAAAGGTCGTACGTTATCATTCATGGTTACTTACTTTCAAATCAAGATGAACCATGTTTTGTCGATGCATGTGTTCGACTCCTTGTAGAATCTGTCTCATGTAGCGAATGACTTCTTTTTCCGTCAAGTTGTCGTCTTGACAAATCTTTTCAAACAACTCTCCACCGGTCACACTTTAAAGGAATAAAGAAAAGAATGCATCAAACATGACTAATCCTCTATATATGACTCAGTGACTCCCTTTAAATAGGGGAAATATAAATATCAGGCAATATAATACAACTTTTCCCAGTCTCAGATTCTATTCGATACTTGCTTTCAAAAAACAACAGTTCAAAGATAACTATTTAAAAACTGAGCATGACGGACAGTGTTAGTCTGAACTTTAATCTTTATGATCATATTCATTGAGCTTTCTGCTCTTAAGGTACTCTTTTCTTGATATGGCAACTAGTTCGGAGAGCTCCGGTGAGACACTGTTGCCCGAGGTACATCGCACATGTGACTATATTTTCGAGAGGACGAACCATTAACGTAGGGCGGTCCCTACGTAAGGACACCAAGAGGACACTATAGCGGAGTGCATGGTGACCCCATCTTACTTAATCCAAACGGCGCTAAGAACAAAAGTACTCACAGCTCCATTATTACTATCATTTCTCCGGGTCTTTCAAATGCATCGGCCAGGTAGATCAGCCTTTGACTGTGAAGATGGTTCATCATTTCCATTTCACCTAATACTTCCTTTTTAGATTCTGCTGAAGTTCTTATGAATTTTGCAGCCAGGACTTCCCCGGTTTCTTTATTTTTTACTTTCTTCACGACACCAAATTTACCCCTATTTAAAAAATAAATAAAACTCAATCACAATGTTTTTACTGATAATTTTAATATACTTAAATTGTACTTCAATACTTTGCATTGAACGTAGTGTAGTGCGCAAACTGATTTGCGTAAGATCTGTTAAGTGCCGATAAAGAGATTACACTTCAAAAATTACRCTTACTTTCCCAGCTCAGCCAGGGAATCGTACTTCTCTTCAAACTTTTTGTCTGTTGCAAGGTAGATTGTATCACGCTTAGGCAGGTCAAATGTCTTTGGATCGACATCTTCGTCATCTGAATTTCAGAAATAGTAAAATTATTTAGAAGAGTCGACAAAGCTGTATACTGTATTCGAATCCCTGTCCCATTCCTTGGGGTACGTACTGTTGCTAATAGAGATTGAGTTTGTTGCCGATATACTCAGTTCACTTAAAAAAAGATAGGCTATAAACAGACCCATTCAGCTTGGGTCTTTTATTATTCAGTACCAATTCTTTGTTCACCAGTAACGGATCAAAAGATACATTGACATAAATATAGACTCATGGCTTGTGAAATAGGAAAACATTGTGCCCAAGTTTAGCCGGTAGATTGAGATATTTTTATTCTTATCTGAACAATACACATGCATAATCCAAGGGCGGATCCAGGGTTTTTTGAAGGGGGGGTCTCAGGGGTAAATTTTGTGGGCAAAGGAATCCCAGTCGYATTTTTACCACAGGAAGCCCATTTGAACTCAGGAATGACAGGGGGGTCGCGACCCCCCCGACCCTCCCCTTGGATCCGCCCTTGTAATCATAGGTCTTGTTTTCTCGTTGTGTGAATAAAGCAATCAACAATACATAAATGTCATAACAGTACGCTAAAACTATCAGCACGAAATCCCGGTTTTGTTAATTATAGAAGGCTTGCAGTGGGATAAGAATGGGAGACATGCAATGTAAACGGAAAACATGCAATGAGATAACAATGGGAGATTTGCAGTGGGATAGGAATGAAAAAAATGCATTTGAATGTAGATTGAAATTAAAACTGACATGCAGTTGGGTATGGGAAATATGCACATGCGTAAGTATGGCAAACATGCATTGGGATAAGCATAGTAAACATGCACCTGGGCGTAAGAATAAGAAACATGCAATACAATTCTGRTTAGCATTTAAGATCAGCTTACAATGTTGAAAAATCAAACCTGGTTAGCCTTGTAAAAGCTGAAAACATTTTGCTGCTGGTTTACCTGGGTTATATTTTTAATTTTATATATTCTGTTAACTTCTTTCATTCCTAAAACATTGCCGCCAAATCCAAAATGTTACGGAATAAATCAATAAATCAATAATTTTAATTTTAAAAGAATCAGTGCGAATAATCAAAGATTTAAAAATCCTTCCACGAGTAATAAAACAAGATGGCATTGGACCATTTTACTAAACAAATTCCGACTTTTGTAAAGATTTTCCTTATTTTAATCCTAGGATTTAAAGAAAAAAAGTATTTCAAAAAAAGGAAGGATACTATATGATGAATGGCGTATATGAATGAACGTTTCACCTGGATCATCAACAATGAGTTCGATATGACAAGTGTCATGGYCTCCGTCGTTCTTAACGACACATTTATATTTGCCCTCATCTCTGAAGTGAACGTTGGTGATTGTTAAGGTGGTAYGATCGTCTTGGGTCTGGATTTGAATACGACTGTCGTTCTGCAAGCATTTGTCACCCTTGTACCATGTTGCAGTTGGCACYGGGTTTCCTGATATTGAACATTCAATAACTGCCTTACCGCCAGCGTCTGCCGTTACTGGATCTGCMGGTTTCTCGACTTTTGCCGGAGCTGAAAATAAAACATTGAAGTAAATGTTAAACAAATTGACAATCAAAGGTGTATTTGAATGGACAAGGAATACCTCTGGTGTCATGGCTCTGATTCTAAAGAACTCTTGCAATATTTTCAAAATTGTTTTGTAAACCAGGTTTGGTTTTAAAGCGGATAAAAACCGAGATCAATGCCGGATAAACACCGCCTGAACACTGTG